GCATCCCCAGGCTCCTGCCAATGACTTAATGGCCACAAGAGAGCAACGCATTTCCGTCCCAGCCACTCGCACCGGCATCCTTCATGATGCACGCCGTCGTAGCAACAAGAAGCCAATGTTCAGTGCACTGCAAAGCAAAGATGTTTCTCCAAACCCAGACTTGCTGTCGATGGTGCAAAACATGGATGATCGTTGTGTAGGAAGAAGCCCATGTGTTGAGTCTGGAGTAGCGCCGAGTGGGGAGGCGGGTCATGAGTCGGGGCCTGAGGAAGACTGGCTGAGACTTGGTGCAGAAGCTTGTAACTTCATGCAGGCGCAGCGAGGACCAAAGCCCCCTGCTGTGGCTCCTAAACCACAAACCCCCCAGGTTCTGCAGCTCGCTGGAAAAGGAGGTCAGCTTTTTGCCCGCAGACAGAACAGGATGGATCGGTATGTTGTTGAGCGTTCTCCGTCTGTTGCTGCTGCACCTTACTCTCCAGCTCAGACCAGGGAACCCTCACCCACACCTTCCCTTCCTGCTGCATGGAAGTACTCACCTAACATTCGCGCCCCACCTCCAATCAACTACAACCCCCTACTGTCTCCGTCCTGCCCTCTGAAGGCCCAGAGGAAACCCGAGGTAGCAAAGCCAGGGACAAACAGACCCAAAGGGCACAAATCAGGCATCAAACCTGTTGACATAATGAGTCACCAGCCGTACCAGCTTAACTCCTCCCTGTTCAGCTATGGAGGTGGTGTTCCCCAGGATCCTTCCAATGCCAACGAGCAGAGAGGTGGTCCTCAAAAGACAGCACGGGTCTACGAGGTAAAGAGGTTCTCAACACCCCCGCCAACTGCCACAGGACCCACACCAAAAGTTATTGTACCTCGATCAGCCACCACTCTTGGAGAACCACTAAGGTACTCTGATGAGTTTACTCCACCCACTGCTGGAGCAATGCCCCATGAACCCCACCAGACTCCACCACAGCCTTGTCAGCCTCAGTGGGCCTCCTCCCCTCTGCCTCCTGCCCCCACTGCTCCTCTTCCTCAGCTCCCAACCTTCTCCTCACCTCCGGTTTCAATCCCTCCTCCGCAGGCCAACAGGAGTTTCAAGAGCGCCCCAGATCTAAGTCCTATGAGTCCCAGTAATTCCTCTTACCAGTCACCCGGTGGCTCCCAGCCCCCCAGGGTCCCCAGGCCTCGGTTCAGCACTTCTAACTTGGGCCTGCAACCTTGCATATGGCGTCCTGGATCCACCACACACTAAACAGATCTTCATCTGGACAAGAGGAATAAAAACTGTGGGGAAATGGAAAATAATTTTAAATCTTCTGGAATCACAGTATCTGTTTGCTTTGAAATCACATGTATCACATTTAATTAATTACCCAGTTCATGTTTGATTCTTCTGGTGAACATTAATTTAAAGGTGACCTATTGTGCTTCCTTTAACAGGTTACAAAACATGTTCATTACACAAAATCATTCTTATATATGAGAATGAACCATCTTTTGAAAAGGTTTGTTTTCCTGACACCAAAAAAAAAAAAAAAAAAAAAAAAAAAAAAAAGAAAAAA